GGGGGGGGGGGGGGGGGGGGAGGGGGGAGCTTGTTTTTCCTGCCGCTGTACGAAGCAGGGGGGTCATGCCTGCCTTTGGATCACGGCGTTATCTCTGCGAGTCTCAGAGTAAAGCTGCCCAAGCCTGCAGGCAGGGAGGTGAAGGTATTTGATCGGATTAGAGGTTCTGAGATGAGCTGACAGGGGCAGGCAGCTGGGGGAGGTAGTAACGGCATCCTGACGTGAAAACTGCTTTCTTAGTGTCATCTGTGCCTCTTTGACAGCTTTCTCTGCTGTATCTGAAACTAATGGGCAGCACTAGCACAGTAACTGCTTTGTACGGGGCCGAGCAGAGGACATCTGCTCTCCCCTCCCTTCTTGCCTAGTCACTCTTCCTTGGTTGAATGTGCCCTGGGGCTTTCCAAGTTGTTATTTTAGCAGCGTGCTTCTGTTGCATGGGTTACGGTTTGCTAGATGTGTAGCAAATACATCTTGCCTGTGTCTACAGTTCACGTTTTTTGTGTGATTTCTTGTTGCTTGGTGGGGGAAAGCGGGGTCCAGAGATTCTCCCAGGAAAGGGGTGGCAACAGGCTCGCATCTCTCATTTCGGAGACCTTTCTGTCCCTCCGTCAGGGAGACGACCGAGGGGCTCGGCAGCAGCGTTGGTCTCGGGCCGAAGGGGTTTTGTTGCTTGGTGGCTGCTTTGTTCTGGACAGCTGAGCTCAGGAGTTGAAACAAAAGTTGCTTAATCCTCTCAGGCTGCCTCGCAGCGTTACTGAGACTTAGTGCTGCCCGCAGACATCAGGGTTCAAGCAGCTTGCCTGTCTGCGCTCAACTGGGTACTTATCAGTGCTTATAATAGCAAATCCCTCTGCGGAGCGAGGGACGGGGGGGGGTCTCCGGCACTGTGCCGTGCGAAGAGCTGTGTTCCTCGGCCGTCTTCACCTGTCGTGCCGCGAGTAGCGGAGCTGCCCTGATGTGGGGTGCGATCGCGCCGGTCCCCATCTGTGGAAAAACAGCCCCTGGTCGTAGTACAGCGAGCCCAAGAGCCGGCATCGTCTGCTGAGATGCCTGGTGGCCTGTCACAGCAGTGTCAGTGCTGGAAGGCGTCCTCATCCAAACATCTGGCACACCATGAAGGGCACACGAGTCATCCAGAGACAGCAAAGCTGTGTTGAATCGAAGCCAAGTTCCCTCTCAGCTTCACGTGTTGGACCAAATGGGATTGCGTTCACGCTGATTTTGATTCCTGCTTAGCTTGGGGCGTTTCTCCGTGTGTTCTTGATGCTGCTGTTATAGAAGGTGACCGGGCTTTGGGGCGGCTGACGGGTTTTTGAAATGCGATTCTGGGACTTCAGAAGGGCAAAGAGGTTGTGTACAGGGGCTTGTGCTGCATCTTCGTGCCAAAGGCCCTGTCTTCCCAGTGTTACTCCGGTGTTTTCTGGGCTGGCTCTTGCTGTTCCAGAGGTCTCTGCAAAGCAGCAGCACTTCAGCCCACCACCCCGTGATAATTCACAGTGCGTAGTGTCACAGCCGATGGCCGGTTCTGTAGCGATGGTTGGTAACAACGCATTTTTTTTCTTTTCTTTTAACAGCTGCCCCTTCCTTGCCAGTCACCTCACCTTGGCCATCCCCATCATTGCAGCCGTCCTCTTCTTCTTTGTCATCAGCTGCCTGCTCCAGACAAGCTTCAGAGACCCAGGTATCCTGCCCAGAGCCACCCCAAGTGAGGCCGCAGACCTGGAAAAGCGAATCGGTGAGACTTCTGTGTTTGGTCCAGTGCACGCCTCTGCGTGTGCGTGCGCCCCACGCGTGTCAGGCTCGGTGAGTCTCTGGAGAAAAGGACAGAGTATCAGATCATGAGGCTTGACAGTGTCTTACGGGTCCTGGTAAGAGAGGTGTGACCGGCTCCTCTAGCACAGCAGGCAGCGCCTCGAAGAGAGGATCTGCAGAGAAGCAGAGGTGGTTTTCCTTTCTGTTTAGTCCCATCGCTTTCCCAGGCAAAGCCCTGTACAGTGGGTCGGAGCTGAACAGTCCTGCCCTCAGGATGACGCCTGAGCGGGCAGTGACCCTGTGCAGAGCTCAGGGGAGGGAGAGCTCGCGGCATCGGTGTCCTAAACACGAATACCGTTGGGGACTGCGTACCAGCAGCTGCGGGAGCATGAAGTCCCCCTTCAGAATCACGCTGCCAGGCTCTTGAAGACGGAGCGAGAGTGCCTGTGATGCTCCGTAACGGCGCGTTAGTTACTCTAAACGTTGTCCAAACTCGGAGGAGTCTGACCCTGTACGTTCTTCTGCAAAATACGTGTGGTGAGGACGTAGGATAATTAATTTAGGAATGAATGCTTTAAAGATTGCGATTTGCCGTGGAGCCTGCTGTGCCGCAAGGGGTTTTTTTTATTGTAATGGTTTCTAACAGTATGCTGATGTTTGTCCCCGTCTAAAAACTGCTATGTCACGCTGTTTTGGTGGTGGCCAAGAAGGTGCGTGCATCCAGGATCTGTGGACCTTGTTGACGTGATCCGTAGTAACAAATGCTTTAGCAAAGCTAATGTGAGACAACTCAAATCTGCCCCACTGAAGACAGTTGCAAGGCGATAATTCTACATCTGACTAAAAAAATGGTTTTAAAATACGCTCAGAGTGGTTATCCATGTTTCTATTTATAAGTGCCTAAAGCAGTAATCTGGCTGCAGATGCTGCCTGATGTGCCAGCTGTTACTGTTAATATAATCCACTAGTCATCCTCTTAACATGCTCACTGTTACGTCTCTATTTTCAAAGACTTCATCGGAGTTGGAAAGGTGCTCTTTCAAGAGTGACTTGAATAAAGGAATAGCCCCCAAAATTGCAAATGTGATAGAGGTTTTCCAGCTCACGCTTTTTGCTGAGCAGAGAAAGTCTCCAGCTGCCAGTCCCCAGTGAATAACGAAGTGCCCGCACACACAGATGCGACTCGCGGTGTCCCTAAAAATCCTTGATTTCGACCTTGAGGAGGAGGAATCCTCTTGCGCTACTAACGTGCCTACGTCAAATTTCAATGAACTCTGCCCGGAGCACTTGAGACCTGCTCGCTGTCCTCCCCCCCGTGATGGAAATGAGTCCCTTGAGCCCGGCGGCGCCCGCTGGCTCCAGCTGCGGGTTGGCAGGTTGTGTGCTGGCGGCGGCAGGGGATGCTTCTGCTGAGGTTACCCTAACGCCTCCTGATTTCTGTAACTTGGACGCGTACAGAAGAGGAGGAACCACGCGTGCGTTAACAGATCATGTTGCCTCCTTGCGTTGTGATCCGTTAGACACGCAGAGATGAGTTGGTGTTGCTGGGCACGTTAACGCTGCTGCTTTTATGCTCGCTATTTATAAATTGCTTTATGTTCCTAAACTGTTGGGCAGATATTACTTCCTCTTGGCATCCCAGCAGCATTGCCATTGAACAGACAAGGAAAGGACATAAATAATGCTGCGAGGAGCTGACTGGAGTTCCCGGCTGCCCACCCTGCAACAAATCCTGTAGGCTGAGCTGCCTCTTAGCTTTTGCTTAAAATCAGGAGAGCACGTGCCAATCCCTCACCCTGCCAGGAAGCAGCTCGGGGTGATACGGGGGCTTGGGTTTCCCCTGCACCAGTTTGACTGTCCCTCCTTGCCCTTGCAGACAGCATGGGTACCTCTACCTATCGCCCGCCGGCCCGCACGATGGAAGTGGTCATAAACAAGTACGTGGTGAAACTCAAGTACTGCTACACCTGCAAAATGTTCCGTCCTCCACGCACCTCTCACTGCAGTGTCTGCGACAACTGTGTCGGTAAGCCCAGAAAGTGGAAAGATGCTGATATCTCTGTGTGTGTGTGTGTGTGTTGGGGGGTCTTTTATGTTCCTGGACAGATTGCTTTTGCTTCTTGTAAAGGATTATAAAGCGAGATACTGAGTGGTCTTTCTTCTTCCCATTTAAAATGAAAGCAAGACCGGTGCAGTGGCTCAGGGCGAGGGGGCAGCATGTCCAAGACTCCGTGTCTCTGCTTTCCCTGGTTCTGGGAAGACCGTACCATGAAACGCGGTTAAGGCCCCCCACCAAACACGAGGTTTGCTGCGGGCTCCTTGTTGTCTGTGGCCTTGCTGTTGCCAGGTTGGTAGAGACGCCACCGCAGATGCTGGTTGAGCTCTTCTGTCTCCTCTCCCCGTGCCAGCAGACTGTGGTGGGGCAGGAGGGAATGAACAAAGACCTGAAGAAAAGTCTCTGATGGCTCCACGCAGGCAGGCGCAGGCGTGGGGCAGCTGCAGGGGGGTGGGCAGGGAGGTTCCCAGAGCAACTTGAACTGGCAGCAGGGTGGCATGTGATTTAGGGACACGCCAGGAGAGTTTACTCCTCGGGCGGCTGCTCCTGGTCGTGCACCACGTGGATGCGGAGGCTGCGCTTTATGCCGTCCGCTGGGGCAGCCCGAGGAGCGACTTAACGCCCCTTACGCTGGAACGGCTCGCTGGAAAGCAGCCGTGGCTGGGGCAGGGTTTGGAGGGGAGCTGTCTGGAGGAGCGGGCGTGCGCCTGCCTTGTGTGCAATGGGTTTTGTTTGCGCTGACGTCCCCCGCAGGACGGTTACCGCAGCCCTGTTAGTCTGAAATGCAGCCCTTTCATTAGAAGGCAGTCGGGAGTGTTTCCAGATATATGGCACCTGCCCTGGGTTCCCAGGCAGTTTCTGTGGTATTAGAGGCATATCTTTATAACTCTGAAAATTATTTTGTGCCCCGAAGAAGGCGGGGGAAGCTGACGTGCAGAAAAAGAGCAGCGATGCTGCGTGCGCGCTCCCAGTGCTGCTAGATACTGGAAAAACTGCCGCACTTTTCCTGCTCTCTTTCGGTTTTAGTAATGGTAGATGTTACCAGTCACAAGGCTTGTATTTATGCAGGGTTTGGTGGGAGGAAGGGTTTGGCCTTTGATGGTAAAAAAAGGGCATGTGAGCGGGCAGCAGTGCTCCGTTGAAACTTCTTGCTCACGTACTGCTGCGGAGAGGTTCTGGTCTCAGGGTGGTGGGTGGAAGCTCGATTTGTAGCCCCTGGTTTTCGGAGGCTCAGCAGAGTTTGCTCTGTTATGGGGTGCGAGGTGGCAGGAGTCCTCACCGTGTCCCTTTGTTTCAGAGAGGTTTGATCACCACTGCCCCTGGGTGGGCAACTGCGTGGGGAAGCGCAACTATCGCTACTTCTATGCCTTCATCCTCTCCCTCTCCTTCCTGACAGCCTTCATCTTCGCTTGTGTCGTCACCCACCTCACTTTGCGTAAGTACTGCGGGTACTAGCAGCGATGCGTGCCGTGCTCCTGGCCACGAGCGACTTGAGGCAGCGCTGGGTCACTGTTCCTGTTGGGACAGAGCGTGGGGAAGGGTCTGGTTGGTTTACACCAGGCTTTTCAGTGCAGGTGGCCTGAATAAACGGGGTCTCGGACTGTAGGGAACCACAGACCCACCCTGCACCTCGCTGCAGAGAGACCTTGAGAGCTGGTGACTGGGTTATCCCCTCCAGAGCAAATGAGCTGGTGGGTGCATCCACTCTTAACCTGGTGGGGAAGGTGACGTGCCTGTCAGCCCCGAATCTCCTGGAGCTGTATCTGCACGCTGACGTTTCTGCAAAGTTACAGACTGCAGACGTTTCTCAGGCAGCCGGGCAGATCCATACGGCCCACAGCGGGGTGGCTGCGTGCTCAGGAGTGAAGTGTTGGCTGGAGATGCGAGGCTGCCTGATGGGATGTTGTTCCTTGTCCCGTTTTGCTTTGCAGGCTCTCAGAGAGATGGATTCCTCGCCACTCTGAAGACAACACCTGCCAGATATCCTTCTGATGCCATCGGCTGCTCGGACTGTCGAGCACTGGTGCAGCAATGCTAATTGTATGACAGAAGTGCAATGAGCTCTTTGTAGGGTCACCTTCGTGTACTTTCCACAACTTAATTTAGTCCCCTAGCTACCTGGTTGGGGCAGACAGGCTTCTCTTCATCTGTAGGCTGGTAACATCACCAAATTGGGAAGACCTTTAATTCCTTATTTAGTTCACCGCCAGGGAGTAAGAGTGGGTGACAAACTTGTTTCCCAGTTTGAAAATTTACGTGGAAAGGGAAGCGGCTGGAACAGGCTGTGCCTTGGTGGATGCCTGCAGAATGGCACGGGGAATGGGAAGCTTGCCGGGGTGTTTCCGTGGCCCAGCGTGCGTGGCCACGGCGCGTACCTCCCAAAACAGTCCTCTGCCTCTCCTTGCAGGATGATTTTGTTCCCTGGGACTTCCTTGACTGTTGTTTCACTGTGCTGGAGCTGGTGATTTGTTTTTTCTCAGTCTGGTCTATTTTGGGCCTCTCAGGTTTTCACACTTACTTAGTCGCCTCCAACCTGACGACAAACGAAGATGTAAGTACCTGGACGCTTGTCCTTCTGCAGGGCCGGCCCTGGTCCTTCCTAAGCAGAGGTGAGGCTTTCAGGGGATCCTTGGCTGCCTGCCTCGGTGCAGTATCTCGGTAAGGCATGCTGCCTGCATTGCCTGTGATAATCCACTGCAAAGCAAACGGCCCCTGCCCAAGGCATTTAGGCTGTAGTTTCAGGTAGCTGAGCAGGGGGGAAAGCAGCGCGCAGCAGCCGGGGACCGTGCGACACGTGTGGCTGGGCAGCGTCAGGCTACGGGGGTCACACGCTGAAATGTTAGAAAGGTCACGTGTGTGTTTTTTCCAGTCTGTATGTGGCCTTGCTTAAAATTAGGAGTTCTGAGATTAAAAAAGGAAAGCTGGCCCCAGAGATTTATTTGGGTGTTAGCCCGGGACATGGGTGATCTTAATTCAGCATCCCGCGTAACCACAGGTTTCCTCTGAGACCCTGGGCAAGTCCCTTTGTCTCTATCGGTTCCTCATGTCTAATAGGCAAATAATGTACAGACATCTCCTGATGAGATTTACCTCAAAGTCTGGGGCGCGTGCAGACTCCAAGGGCCAAATGAGTACCCCGAGCAGGGCAGATTGTACGGAAAAGCGGGATCTGTCCGATCCTCGGAATCAAAATTCATTCTTCTGGCCAGAAGTACCTGTAATCCTTGCTGGAAGCTTCCAGCACTGCGGAAGGCAGGTTTGCATCCCCTGGTTTGGGGTTTTTTTTAACTTTTTCCCCTCCCCTTTCCTCTCCACCTTTCCGTTGCGTTCAGAGGCGTTGGCAGAGATGTGCAAGGCCGTGTAAGTGAAGCTAATGGAGGTCGCACCCCGGTACTGAGAGCACCAAGTCCGAAGCGCGTGGCCCGTTGCCTCTCTGGCTGCGTTGCCCACGTTGCCAGCCTTATGCTGCAACTAGGGAGAGGGAAGTAAAAACAAAAGGAGGAAATGTAATGGTAAACAATTCGCTGCAGCCAGGGGCCTGAGGCCAGGTATAGCATCTGCCCACTCGTGTGTGCCTGCGCTTGATGTGACCGGGGTTTCGAAATCAAGAGTCCCGGTGACAGCTGCTCAGGGTGGGGACAGATGAAATTGTTTCCTCCTCTTGCAGCACGGCCTGGGAATCCCCTTGCCGTTTGTTCAGCCTGAGGAGCCCAGGAAGGACCGTGAGCTAGAGCCCTGCTCTGATGAGCTTTCAGCCTAGTAGAGAACAAGGGGAGGAGGAGGAGGCTGGCGTTGAAGACGGTGACAGTGACAAGCTGCCGTGCAGCACGGGGAGGGCACAGCTTTGGAGCTTTCTAGCTGCAAGGTTGCACCTTGGCAGAGGCAGGGGCAGCGTATTGCTGTCTCCTCTGCCTGCCTTTCTGCAGCCGTCCTGCTTGTTAAAGCAAAGAGAGGGAAGGCGTTTGCAGTAAGACAAGCCTTCCACCTCGGATTTGAACCGAGTCCGTTATCGTGTGACTATCTGCTATCGCATTTTTCCTACCTTAATCTGCGTGTATCCTTTCCCTTTCAGATCAAAGGGTCCTGGTCAAATAAGAGGGGCTCGGAGTTTGCCAATCCGTACAGCCATAAAAGTATCCTCACAAACTGCTGCGCGGTGCTGTGTGGACCATTCCATCCCAGGTAAGAGCCTTTGACCTCCACAGCGCTGGGAATCGCATCCTGCTCTGTGAGAGGGGCCTTGGAAAGGACAGATTTATCACGGTTCAGGGGAGACTGTGTCAGCACAAACACATCTGCCCCCATGATGACGGGGAAACGGTTTCCCAGTCTCTGCAGCGAGCGGCTGGAGAAATGTAGAAGAGCTACAACTGTTGCTTCTCCTGTGTTTGAGCTTGACGAGTTGGGGTCACTTGTAGTTGTTTAATGGAGCTTGCAGATAAGACACATCCTGCGATTCAGTGAGGGGAGAGTAATGGCACCAAAGGGCTCGGCAGCAGATGGTAAATACCGGTAGTGGCGGTGCTTCTTAGCACATGTTTTTTCCTCCCGTACTCTGAGGATCGAGCATCGTGGCAAGCAGCCAGCAGAGAACCGCACAAGGCAGTGTGGAGACCCTGGGTTTTACCAACACGTAGATTGCCTGAAACGCTGAGTGGCGTCCTACCAAATGCTCTTACCCGTGGGTTAACCAAGAACCGAGGTTAAACCCAGGGCAAAGGCGGGCAGTTCGCTGCAGATGCGAGGAAGGTTTGGGCCTGAAGCGCGGGTACCTGCAGCACAGGAGTATTGCTGCTTTGTCACAAGAGGGTGCAATTGGGCAGAGTCAGGCCGGCTTCCCCTTACGCTGTGCTCCGGGAGCGGGCGACCTGCGCGCTGGCTTGGAGCTCTCAGCCTGTCCTAGGGCATGTGGGGATCCTCGAGACAACTTTATTCACTGGAGCCAATTTAGATTTATGTGGAGCATCTCGGAGGTGCTAACTCAGTGGAACACAACAGCAGGGGAAGGTGTCTGAGGCTGTGCAGCTAGAGCCAAAGCGTGTTTTACACTTACATCTGGCCCCGCGCTCTGAAGTACCCCCAAGCTTTTTCTTGGATTCAGAGGTGCCGAAATGCCAGCGCTGCCGCTCAGAGATGGTAAATCTGCGGATTCAGGGAGCCGAGCTGTTTGCTGGGAGGTCGTGGGGAGAAGAGTGTTTTACTCCAGTTCTTTCCTCGGTCACGTTGTTTTCCTGTTGTAAAGACCTTTCGCCAGTTCCCATTTGGTTTTGTGGTGACCCAAAGCTTTAACTGCCTCGAGGCTGTTTGGTGGCTTGTGTGATAAGTTTGTGGTTTGTCTAATGGGCAGGAAGCTGTGTTATCCAGCGCGCTCCTGCCGATGCTTTGGTTAGCAGTTCCCACGAGGAGAGCCCTCTCTGTGGCTTGAAGACTCCGCGAAGACGGGAGCTCACATTTCCTTAACTCCTCTCCCCTTGCACCCTTCCGTTTCTCTTTTCCAGTTTGATAGACAGAAGAGGATTTATCCAGCCAGATGTCGGGACCCCGTCCAGTCCTAAGGGCGAAATCCCTTCCTTTGGAGCCAAAACTGACACCAGCATGGTAGGAGGCATTCCCTAGCAGTGCTGTGATGTAGCCCAGTGCCTGCTGTGCCTGCACCTCGCTCCAGCCAGTACCTTCCCCTCTTACCACCTCCCCGGCCTCAGGCGGGACAGCCCTGTGATGCAGAGCTGCCAAAGACTCAGTCGAGCCATACGTTGCCTTTTTTTTTTTTTCCCCCTCCTTTTTTAAAATTTATTTATTATTTTTTGTTTATTTGTTTCACTGTGACGCGGCCTGTCTGGGCTTTCAACTGACAGAGCCCGACAGCATGCAAGACCCTCAGACTCGTGCAGAAGGCGGGGGGTCCCTGCTGCACCTGGGAAGCAAATAAGTCTGGGGAGCCACCAGACCTCTGAGCCCGGAGCGTCCGCTCCAGGGGGTCGCTGTGTTTGCTGCCGGGAGTGATGAGGTGGGCCGAGGGTGGGAGGTGGGGACTGGCAAACGGTTCCCACTCTGAGCTGGGCTGTCACGCCTCGTCTTCTGGGCTGGTGGAGGCCTAAGTTCCCTGCTATCCCTGTTCTCTCCATGAACACGTCCTGCTCCCCTGTGCCGAGGCGGGACGCGTTCTGTCTCTTAACGGCTGGGTTCTCACCTTGGCTGCTGCCGGAGCAGCTTTTCTTTTCCAGAAGCTGCTGTTTAAGTTGGGGCTGTTCAGCTGGGAGGACTCTGGCTCCCAGCAGACGTGGAAGCTAGCTAGATGTCCCAGCTGCTGGTGATCCTATTTTCTGGCTGGTCACTGAGGGGGTGCTGAAGAACTCTTTGTGTTTTGGCTCTGCCAGTCAGTCAGGCAACGTTTTGCAGCAAGGGCACAAGTTAGGATGACCCTCCTTTTAACGGGGAAGAAGAAACACGCAGCGTCCTGTGGCTCTCGTCATGAGATGCTGGTCGGCAAGGCTACAGCTGTAAGATTTGGGAACCTTAGCTTGCCAGGGAAGCCTGGTTATGTCCTGTCTGTAGAAGACCAAAAGGCAACAGAAAGAGCGTGAATTCCTGAGGGTCGCACCCTTCCCAGGTGGAGCTTCGCAGAGGAAGCGGTGAGCGGGTGCTAGTCTTTGATGACCTCGCGTTGTGCTCTTGGTTCGGGTTTCTGGCCGGCAGGCGAGAGCAGGGCTGTCCCCAGCGCCTCGGGAGCGATTCCCGTGTGCCTGGGCTCATCCGTGAGCATCGCTCGGTGCCTGCAGAGGCACGGGAGAGCTGGGCTGGGCAGCCAGCTCTGCGTCACTGACACTGGAGTGTGCGTAGGGGAGAGTCACAGACCTTGTTAGCAATACTTGAATCGTGTTATTAAAAGCTGCTGGATATTTTTGCACAATTTGTAGATTTTTTTTTTTTTTCGTTTTCTATGTAGAACACTTTATATTCGGTGCAGGTAGCGTTGTGCATGTTAGCACCAGGGCAGAAGCTTGCAGCGTTCTGTGTCAAACTGCCTGGTTAGGTTTCTGTGGGTCAGACGCATGTATTTCAGCCTCGGGCAGAGGCAGCACACTTACCGGGGGCAGCCTGTCCCCACCGAATTCACCAGCGTTGTGCTTTGCACACTGTGAGTGACCGCGCCAGCCCGCCCGCAGCCTCGGGGCGCGCTGGGGGACGGCGGAGGCACAAGGTTCCCCCCGGCCTTACATTTCTGGCTGGCTGCACAGAGTTCTCGGTGCTTGTTTGCTGTGGCCACCACCTCTACCTTCCCCTCCGCAAAGAGCCGAGGTGAGAGCACGGCGGCGGAGGCTGCTGAATTTCTACCGGATCCCGGCAGATGGCCCTCGCTGCCCGGGGAGGCTCCCGGTGCTCCTCTGCCAGCCGCCCCAGCCCCGCAGCTTCGTGCCATCTCTCACGGGCCAGGCGCTTTAGCGCATTGCCCGTGTTGCAGCCGGAGAGGCCGCCCTGCCCTTCCCTCCCCGCTTCCCCTGCAGGGATGTCCCCAGCAGGGCTTGTCCCTGCCTTCGAGGAGCCTTGATGCTACTTCTAGGGGGCAGGCGTGGGGCCGTTCTGGGGGCGGGGGGGGGGCGGGGGCGAGCCGAGCGGTGCGGAGAGGGTCTGGCGCTGGGGAGCGAGGAGCAGCGTGGGGGGCGTTATCAGGGGCCAAACTACTTCCTGTTTTTATTTAAACCAGTCTCCTTTGTTACTCATCATAATAAAATTATATTTTTAAAGAGTTAATTGCTTGGATTATTGTTTTATTCCTTTGAGACACCTGCCCTCTTCTGTCTCGGTGTTTAACATCTGTCAGGTGGCAGCTGGACTCTTTATTAGGCCCAGGGTTTGCCTGGAAGCTCTTAAAACCGCCTGCGGGATGGGGCTACCAGGGATGCTTAGCACCAATCGGTGCTGCCGTGACTCTTGCTGGAGCAAAGGGATTTTTCTGTCCCACGTCTCCAGGCTGGGCAGGGTCTCATCCACTTGCCGGTCTCCTTCCTGCAGAAGCCGTCACCTCGGCATCCTTTCCCCACCCACCTTGGTCCTGGGCTGTGCCAGGATCTGTGGTCCCCATGTCTAACCCAGCCCTCTCCGGCCGTACCGGCGGGTATCGAGGTGCATAATCTCTGGTGTCTTCCCCAGGAGGACGCCTGCCAGGACTTTGCCATTTCCTGCACAGCCTGACGGGATTTGCCCCCTCCTTGGACGTTAGCCCTGCTTTCTGAGGGTTAGCTGGTAAGAAAGAGCTTTCTTCTCCCCGTCATCCACTCGAGCAACCCATCTCATCTCCGCTGCATGACCAGCTCTGTCCACGGAGCCCATCACCCTCCAGTTGTGTAGACATCTGTGTGCCGTGTGCCCTGGCCATCCCACCACTACCCCACCGGCATCCCACCGGCGCGAGGGGCGGCGAGCCCTGGGTTGTGCCGTCTTGGTGCAGGGCTGCGCGGCAGAGGGGTTGCCCACAGCCTTGGCGAGAAGAGAGGGACGGTTTCCCCCGGCTTTGTGCTGGGGCTTGGTACAAGATGGAGCCGCCTGGTCGGCGTGTGTGTGCGTGGTGTAGCTTGGAAAACGCTGTGGCTGAGGGTTGGTTCTGGCTCCGGGCAGGGGGTTCGTGAAGCCCGGGGCTGGCTGGATGGCAACGCCGTGGTGGTTTGTGCTCGGTGGAGCTGCGCGGCGTGACGGGCTTGGAGGAAGCCCCCAACTGATGCAGAGATTTAGTGTTTGGAGCGAGCTGTGGCCCGAACAGAGGAGTGGGAGCCTGGAACAGATTTCTAATCCCAGCTCTGACCTGCTCTGTGGTTCAGGCAATCCCTCCCCTCCCTCCCTCCCTCCCCCTCTGCTTGCTTTCCTCTCTCTAACACCAGGTTCCTCCTCTGACGTGCCCGTGGCCACAGTAAGTTCCTTCCAAAGCACGTTGCAACGAAGCCCTGCTTCCCTTGGGGGCTGCGGAACTGCCCTTCTCCCTCCTGTGCCCCCCTGCCCTCTCCTTCCCTGCAGCACCCCACGGGCTCCTGCCTGCTCGAGCCTCGGCAGCAGCGGTGAAGGCAGGCTGCCCCTTTCTCCCTGCCTGTGTCTGCCAGCGCTCTCCTCCATCCTGGACTGTCTCCCCTTTCTGTCGCAGCCTGGGTGCTCCCGCTCCGCTCCCTGCTGCTCCTCGCTCCTGTATTTCTGGCACTAACCCTCTCTTTCTCTTCCTCCCCTCTCCTCTCCCTCATGCCGGGTCGATCCAGTATCAAGAGCCCTGGTGGCCTGCAGCCCTCTGCCTCTCGTGGAGCGCCCGGCGGGAAGCCAAGACACCGCGGGCAACACCCGAGACTACAGCCATGACCACCACGAGTGCCTCCGCTCGCCAGGGCTACGTGGCTGCGCCTTCCTCCCTCCCGCCGCAAGAGAGGGGGGAAAGCAGCCGTGCACAAGGAAAAGCTTTTCCAACCCCTCTCCGGGAGCCGGGACGGCCGTCCCGCGGGTTCAAAGCTCAAAGCCATACAGCCGCCCCATCCGAGTGCAATAACTGGAGTTCCTGCTGTCTCCTGCCACTGGACGGACTCGCGCAATCGAGCGGAGGCCGCCGGTGGCTCCCCGTAACCACCAGCCTTACCCCCAGTGAAGGTGTCTCCCCTCCCGTAGATGCTGGAAGATAGCGGTTAGCATTCCAGCGGGCTTTCGAAACGAGCAGGCTTCGTGCCAGCGCATTTACAGCCGAGCCGGTGGCGTTACACGCCCGACCCCACCAGCCCCTCTCCGAGCCGTGTCCGTGTGTCAGAGGACTCTGCTCTGCGGACGGGAGTTAGCGCGTGGTCGGAGTTTACCCTTGCAAAACCCCCTCCGGCCAGCTGCCCCTTTCCTGTTCCGTCTTAGCACGGCTCTAGTCTTAGGGGAAGGAGTTCAAGCCCCGCGGGACCTTGACCAGCCACCTCTGCGGCCGGCGTTGCCGGAGGCTGCAGCACAGGCTGGGTGCTCCAGCACCGGGTTCTCCCACCGCCGGCAGCCGGGCTGGGAGCTGCGCTGCGGAGCTGTGCAGCCAGGCCTGTCCCGTCCCCCCCCGAGCCCAGCCCAGAGCCCAGAGCCCAGTAGGATTCACCATCTATTTATGCCTTTTACTTTTGTAACAAAATAAAAGTTTCTCCTATTTACTGTACGCCGGCGTCTGGCTGCTGCTCTGCCGGCGGAGGGGAGCTGCTCCCTGCAGCTCCTGCCTGGGCATGCCGGTGCTGCGCGGGGCGGGGGAGCTGAGCGGAGCCACGGAGGGCTGGTACCCCTCTGCCATCGGCTGTGCCGGCCACAGGGCCGGGAGCCAGGAGCTCCCTAAACCAGGCTGTGGCACTAGCCGTGGCCTTGAGGCAAGTCTCAGCCTTCCGTGGCTCTGCACCCTCCTGTACGAGGCACGAGCCTTGCTGCTGGGGCTGGGGAAGGGGCGACGGGCAGTGCCTGTGGGACCCGGGGCGCAGCGAGCACCCCTTGGCAAAATTCCTCCCCCACTGAAGTGTCAGGAGCTGGCAGCGGCCCCACAGCCTGGGGAGGGGCAGGGCTGGACGGGTGAGGACGGGGTGGCCGGGCGGGCTGCGAGCATCCTTCCAGTGCCACTGGGAATCGCCACGAGCAGCCTCTGCCTCCTGCCTGCCATCGCGGAGCAGCTCGAGCGCCCAGCCCATGCCTGCCTGCAGCATCGCCAGCTCGGCTCACGGCACCGGAGACGTGCGCTGGCCTGGGCAGCATCTCCCGGGGCTGGGGCTTAACCGGGTATCCCTCTCCCCAGGGCGATGCACCTTCTGGTGCCGCTCTTCGGCATTCGGGGCACCCACGGGTGCGCCGTGGGGTGATGCTGCAGCCGAGCTCACCTGCAGCCTCTGCGCAGCGATCTGGGGCTGTTCCCTTCACCCACCCGCTGATTTTCACGAAACCGGTAGAGCAGAATGTTTTTGCAGCCTCCTCTCAGCCCATTGCAACCAAAACTTTGGCAGCAGCTCAACCCCTTTGGCAGGGGCTGCCGGCAGACGCCTGAGCCGAGGCCGAGCCATCGCACACCCCATCTGAGCTTCTCGTCCTGCTGCCGCGGGGGGGGGTCCCCGCCGGGGCCGGGGGGGGGGCCCCCCACAGGGCCCTCGCGGAGCAGAGCCAACACAGGATTAAACAGCCCAAAACGCAGCCGGGCTGGTGCAGGAGCAGCCCGAGGTTTTGAAGCCGGGTCTGGTGGCGAGTGTTTCACCGGGGCTGGGGGCTGCGGACCCCGACCACGTACGGCTTTGCTGCTCAAAGGGGTGCGAGCTCAGACTTAACTCCCGCCCAGGGATTGCTGCCTCGCGTTTTTACAAGGGAAGGAGGTGGTTTTTAGAGGGCCAGGTACCTCGGGCTGCCCGTTTGGCCCCCCCCAACCCCCCCTATGGGGGCTT